GTAACCATGGAGACCAGAAAGCATCAGATCCCATGTGAATGGAGTAACAGACCATTGTAAGCTGCCATGTAAGTGCTGAGTACTGGAAATTCATCCTGGGTGTTACTCACCAATAAGCCAGCCACCCCTTATTTAATGTATTTTAAGTATTTTAGATAATTTATCGGGAATTTCATATGTTGTATTTGATCATATTAATCCCAAGCCCTTTCAGGTTAACCCCACCACCCAAACCAACTCAATACCATGTTGTCTCCTTTTTTGGAGTTCAATTTGTGCTACCTGTATAATCTTGGGTGTGTGGCTATCCACTGAAGTATGTTCAGCCTACCAGAGATCATTCCCTTAGAAAAGAAATCCATGTTTTCCCTTTCCTACCAGCTTCCTATTGCCCTTATGACTTCAGCTAGGCATGGGACTCTGTAACCACCTCCCTGCTCATATTGAGATTTGGTGTGGATTGAACTTTCACTGGTCTTACTCATACATGCTGTCACAAGTTTTGTACTTTCTTACATAAAGCTGCCCTGTCATGTCTGGAAAACAAGTTTTTATTGCTATCATCCACCTCCTCTGTCTGTTATCATAGTTTTTCTCCCTCTTCTATGATGATTACGATCCATGTTGGGAAGGACATGACATATAAGTCATATTTAGGATCGAGACTCTGAAGTGACTTATTCTCTGCACCTTTTACAATTATTGGTCTCTGTAATAATTACCATCTACACAGAGAAGGTGCTTCTCTGTTAAGGTTTGAGAGATGCATTAATCTCTGGGTATAATGATGCCATTAGATTTTAGTCTAATGCTATGTCAATTTAGCAGAATAACAGTAATAGGGTCTCCTCCTAGGGTTTATGATGACTTATCAGAGCAGGTTTGTGGCCCTGATTATGGTGTCAATTATGGGATTATATCTTGTAGAGTTGATCTAAATGAAATTAAAATGTATCTGGTCACTCCCATATCAGTATCATTTTAAATCTACTTAAAAATTTTGTGCAGTCCCAAAAGTTTAAATATGTTTTCTTTCATATCTTTTAGTTCTGCTTTTGCCAAGAGTATACAGAAACCACTGGCTAAGTTTTACATTTTTGACAAAATGTTTTTATTCTTCTTCAGGAATTAAGGCTTTCTCAGGCTCTCTTATAATCAGATGCTGCCACTTGAGCTCTCCTCACTAGTGCAATACAATAAAAATGTGGTATTTCAGGTTTCATGGGAAGTGTGCTTCATCCACTGTCTCCATGTAGGAAGCAAAGAGCAGGGCACAGAGCAGAAAGGAGCCAGAACTACATTTCAGTAGAAAGTAACCACTGTCATTCTCACCATTGAATGTAGAAAAGCACATAATTAATTGCAGTTGTTTCTGACTTACTATATCTATATGACTCTTTGGTCTTAAATTTGAGGGAGAGTGTGGGCATTCCATTGAAGTAGATGTTCAGGCTTCTACCAGCCACTTTGAGCTTCTGGATCTCTTGAGCCAAGAGGGTAAGAAAAGAGTAACTGTGTTAGGAGGATTTATTGATCCAGACTACCCAGTATTGAGATTAAGCTAGTGACGTGTGCAGAGGAAGTGAAGTGGAATTCAACATTCAACACAATGAGGGGCTCAAGGCTATGCTGCACAACAATGCTTTACTGGCATTTAGTGGAGTTTTTAACTAAGATATTCAGGGTTCAAACTAAGAACAGAGAAACTATGAAAAACTTACAGACCATTTTTCATCACTATCTTCTGCTCTGGAGATTGAAGGTCTCATGGTGAATGGGGACTGATTGAATAGTGTCCTTGAGGAGCTAAGCTGTGTTGCTAAGGAGCAGAGAGGTAACATCTTGCCAATGCCCATTCCTTTGGCAGACAGACACATTACTCCCAGGGGAGTCAACTAAGTTCTATGAAAACACAGTTTACACAGCTGGATAGTGTGGAAAAGTCTATTATACGCATGCTACAGGGGGGAAATTGGATTTCTTCTCTCACATGGATATAAGGAAGATTATGTTGGGAGTGCAGGAGGTTATTGAGGGTATCTCTTGGTGTTATGTACTGTGTTTAAAGTCAACAGGAAACTACAACCATCCAATCCAGACATGACAACAAAAGGCCCAGATTCTTAATGAATGAGAGTAAGAGTCACTCATCTACATAAAGAACCAAAACCCTGCAAGATTGCAGATTGTAATTGACCAGTGTCTCCATTATATTTTGTTATAATATATATATATATATATATATGATAGGGAGATATTTGTATTTCTTTATTTATCATGTAATATAACTTTGATTTAGAAATTATCAGTGGTTATTATCACTCTAAGCTGTGAGACACTAAATGACCAAATTTTCCTTAAGGGACATTGCCACCTATGATAAACTATATAATTCATTTGTGGTTATAAACGCGATAATTGTGTCAGGTCAGGTGTAATTATGACTTGGTTATTGTTTGCATTTAGAAATTAGGCATGATATAAAGAGATGGGGTTGTGTGTCAAGTTGACAAGGGGTGGACTTGTGATGGCTAATTAAGGTTGTTAACTTTACCACATTTGGAACCAATTAAAACCCAAGCAGCTGAGTATGCCTGCAATGGATTTTCTTGATTGGATCTTTTGAGGACCCACACTAAACCAAGGCTACACCTTCTGGTAGCAGCTCACATAGAAGGACTAGGAAGAAGAAAGCTGTTGATTTTTCCGTGCTCATCCTCCTTTTCAATGGCAAGTTCATCTATCCTGTGGCTGAGTCATTCTTTCCATGGTACCAGAAGTTATTGGCATTCCAATAGTGACTGCAGATTAGCTCAGACATACAGCTGGGTGCACTGAACAACTCCCCACAAACCATTGACTAGATGACTGCATAGCTGTGGGGATGAGGCTGAGTAATGGTCATTATAAGAAGCTACCTTGGTTAGTGTCTTGTATGTTGAATTTGATGATCAATAAGCTATAAAAAGGTGAGCAGGTGGTGGTCCTTGTGTTCTCACAAATGGGTTAATCTAATGTCTTTTCAAAATTACTCCTCCATTTTAATACGGAATGTTATGACCTCTGCCTCCGTGTTATAGGTAGGAATGTGTAGTTGATAAAAATGAAAGTGATTATGAATACCTTGACCTTCTTATCAAAATAGTATTTAGTCTGGAGTCTTTCTTGCCTTTCCTTACCATGCTTTGGTGTTATCAACTACAGGATAGCCTTTTAAAAATATTCTGTGTAAGGTAAACGTGAATGTGATAGTAGAATTTGTATCTGATACGTGGGAATCAAGCAAATAAAAACTCTTGAAAATGGCAAGAACATTTTCAACTTCTATTTGGCAGCTATTGATTGGCATGAAAAGTAAAATTGAGGTTTAACAAGGTAGCAATTGTCACATAGAGACACATAGCAGCTGTCTCTAAAAATGTGAAAGTGAAGGGACATTTTAATTCATCTGTAAGATTCCAGAGACTGAAAGTTCTGAGCACTGACATGTGGATAATATAATATGACTATTGCAATGTTAGATTTGTTTGAGGATAGACTCAGGTGCCTCTCAATTTCCTGTGGTTATGTGCAATGAACATTATACCTAACAGTGAATTGAGAGTCTGGTCACCAGACACATGTTCCTGTAATCATGACTCCAAGAAGGCTGAAAAAGGAGTATTGGGAGTATGAAACTATCCTGGGCTACACATCGAAATCCTACCTTCAAATAAAACCTGCACATACACACATACATTCACACACACACAGACACACACACACACACACACACACACACAGACACACACACACACACAGCTCTCATCTTAAAGTGAATATGACATACTTTTTTCTGGAGCCATTTTTTTTGAATGGCCATGACCTGGAAACTCATCTATAGGTTACTAAAAATTCAATCATCCAATGTGGTGGAAACAATTTCATATATTTTTATAGTTTCATAGAACAAAGAAAGTCACAGGTCAAGGTACATTTAAAATATATACATTGGTGGGGCCAGATGAGGGAACCCTTGCTTATATGGCCAAGATGCTATCTAATGACATTGTTAGCTTCTGGGTTTGGAACCTGGTAGTATCCTAAGTTAATAGATACCAAATCTTTTTATCTGTTGTTCCCAGGATGCTAGTTCTGACAGCATAGGTAAGAAAAGGCTATTGTAAGTACCTAAAACTAACCTATGATAAAGTAATTAGCCTCCAGATCAGGATTGCAGCCTCTCCATAATACTGCAGTTCAGTTGGTCTCAGGTAACCCAGATTCTTTTCTGGAATTTTTGTTCACACCAGCATAGGGTATTGTGTGGGCATTGTCAGGAGTGTGGACACTAAAGGTCCACCCTAGCCTCATAGTTTCTGCATCTACAAGGTGAAAGGACCCACAGTGAGGATATTTGAGAAACAGTGTTCCACTTAGCATATAATAAATTTAATATGTTCATGCTTAATATTTTTATACTTAATTCTTGCATTGAGATTCAAAACTTGAATAATAGTCTAGGAGAGAATGAAGTTCATCTTAAATTTTACTATTGAATTATCAACTAATTTAAGTTCTTCCCCAAGAAAGAACTCTGCATGGTGATCATACTTCAGCGAGTCAGTGATTGGGCACCATTTCTTAGTAAAATTTGGACTTTTGTAAGCGTAACTAAAGTATCCCTTTTGGGTTTCTTACCCGGCTTCCTGTGGACACTCGCTATAACTTACCCTGTATACTTGACGTTTAATTCCTTTTTCATTTCCTTAATGCATCAGTAACAACTTCTCTCAAACATTTCCTTAAAGTATGTGTTGGAATTGTCTACTGATGCCTCCTTATTTCTGATCTACATGAATAAGCAACACACACACCACACACACACGCACACACACACACACACACACACACACACACACACACAGAGGGATGGAGAGGGGGTGTTATAGGGCAGGGAGCATTTAGTATGAGATCCTCATCACTAAGGCAATGAACGGGGGAGACCTGAAGAGGTAATTCAAAGTGGCAGACGCAGCCACACCCTAGACTGACTCATGTTCCTACAAGCATGCTTACTCTTCCTCTGGTTCAAAGGAAGAAAGACAGGGAAAGCCACAGCAAGTACCTAAGGCCACAGAACAGGAAGGTTCCCAGTTCCCAGGAACACATGCCAACACAAGGTTTCCTATCAAGATGACTGTGTGGCAGAAGCTCAGGCCGGGCAAAGCAGACGCAGAACCCTGTTACACTTTTGCCTATCCGTGGCCCTCGACATCATTGAGAGAACTGGGACCAGCTTGATCCTCAGCAGCCCTGGAGACGCTTTGGGGGAGACGAGTGTATCCACGAGCGTGTGTGCGTGAGGAGGAGAGCAAAGACGTGATTACTTCAGAATTTATTTAAGGGCCGGTGGAAACCACTGCAGCAGCTTCCAGGGGAAGCCCTTGTTCCAGAGGAAGAGGAGGTGGAGGCTGCCAAGGAGGAGGAGGGGAGGAGACAGAAGGAGGAGTATCAGCCTCTTGCATGAAGCAAGGATGCTATAGCATCCTCACACGTTCCCAGCAGGTTGGTTCTGTCGGTCAAATGATGCAAGCAGATGAGTTGCAGAGGGACTGGGAGGTGAAAATTGGTGCCGGGGTGGGGACAGGTGAGTGTGTGTGTGTGTGTGTGTGTGTGTGTGTGTGTGTGCTTCCCTTCTCAGAAAATAAACCTAAGTGAAAGGATACACCCTAGGACCCAAGTAGGCTGCGTGCCCAAAGAAGACCTGTCCTGCTTCTAGCATCCCTGGGGACTCACTTCCTTTTAACCATCAAACTCCCAGCAATTACCATAAACTCCACAGTGGCTCCGGGTGGGGTTCTGGGTGTAGAATTTCCCTTCCAGATAGGTACTTCCCATACTTCATCCCGAAGAACTTCGCGTTTGAAGGGACACTTCTTCACCCGCTGGGTGGTCCGGGAGACCGTGGGGAGCCTTGGTACTACTAGGTTAAGTTTCTGAAAGTCAGTTCCAGTCCCAGATTACCAGCTCTCCGCCCCGGGGCTCCTGCTGCACGCTCTAGCTGCCTCTGCTGGGCGGCAAAGGGGCCGCGGCTGCTTTAAGAACCGCCTCCCCCTCTCTTCCCTTTGACAATGGTCTGAACCGAGCTCTGCTTCCCAAAGCAAAATTTGTAATATGCCATTTTTCCGATGGACCCTTCTCCTTTTGGCTGCTGACGGAGCCACGGGAAGATGCCGAGTGGCTGCCACGCTACAGAGCCGGGGCACTTTCCAGGAGAACGCTGGGGCTCGCGGGTGTCTAAGCAGCCTTTCTCCTCCCGTTGCTAGGGAAATGGTCCAGGACTGCTGGGTGTGAGCCTCACCTCTCCTCCAGCCGAGACTGCGGTTGTCAGTGATCCATTGAAGAAACGGGACCTGAAATAAGAGATTTTAGGTACAGAAACTGTATTCGAGTTGCATGGTTTCTCTTCCGCTTCATTTTTAATTTCTTTTTATGACCACCTCCCCCAGCCCCACCCCGCCCCCAGGGAAGAGGAGATGCAAAGTCCTCCTTGTGGGTTACTGTTAGTTATCTTTGCTTTCCACCCATTTTCATCTCCGATTTCTCTGCCTCCTGCCTAGCCGGTTCTCTCCTGGGGCAGATGAACAATTTTAGTGTGGAAATTATGAAGTCAACTTCTTTCGGGGTGGTGGGGGTGTGGCTGAACAGTAACTTGTCCAGCAGTGTGGGGTGAGCTTTCTTTGGCCATCTGAATAGGCACTAGGGTGAAGAAAAGTGAAAACGTTTCCATTAGAGTGGTAGGAATATTTTCCGAGGACAGGGGATTTCAAAGAGTTAAAGAGGAGGAGGAATATTCGTGTAATGTAATCAGACAATGGCTAGGCTTTCTCTTACTGAATTACTCCTTGCTGGTTAACAGAGATGGAACTGGGAAGGTTCTGCAGACTAAACCTTTGCCTAAGAAACTTACTACAGTGAATGACTGCATCTTTGCCTGTGGTCGTGTAAAAATTCTAGCGATACAATTAAATGAAGTTATTGACCTACAGAAATAAAAGTCTTTTGGACTATTCTTGTCTGAATAGGTAAAGCTCATAAGAACATATATTACTAAGGAACACACTAGATCTCAAAATCCTTGCTGGATGAGTCCACTGGGCATTCAAAACTTTTATTTTGGAATCTGAGAGATTTAGAATACAGACAAGGTTATATGCTCATAGCACGGGAGTTGTTTTTCTTGGTATAAAATTATTCGGGCTAAATTTAAGCCCTGAGATAATTAAACCAATCATGGTTATTATTTTTTCTCTCTTAAAAATAAAATTTGCATTGCCCGTAAGTGGGTCCTGGAACCTTCAGTAGTTTACTGATCAAGTCATCCATATCTAGATGAAGTTAATAGAATTATATTTCACGTTGACTTGAGGGAATTCGATGGAAAGACAAATACCTCAGGAAATTGTGTGTTCTGACTTGTTTCTCAGTGATGGTGTAATATTTGCATTTTCAGTTCCAGAAATGACACTAAAAGAAAAATGTGATATATCTGGGTGCAATACACAAGATGCTGGATGACCGTATCTTTCTGCACCATGTTCCAGATATTCATCCTACAAAATATTCTTCATAGGTTTTTAATTACTCCCAGTACACTCAAGCTGTGCAGCTGTGTGCTTAGGAACTGATACACTAGGTTGTGAGGGATATGCAATTGTTTTACAGCCAATAAAAGTATCTGAGGTCTAATGTAATAATTAACCTGGCTAATGAAAGTAGCTTTGGTATTTGTAGAGACATTTTATTTTTTTAATTTGGAGGAGCGGACACTAGAGTTGCTCATTTAGATTGACTGGAAGAAAGTACATACATTCATCTTATTTTCTAGGCAGTTTTGCATAGTTTGAATTTTATGAATTGAATTTGGAGAGTTCAGAAGTCTAGAGTTTCAAGGTACAATATAATTTCTGTAAGGATAAGTAGTAACCAGTATGTAATAGAGAACATGTGGATTTTATAATAATCCTTTATATATTTTACTATGGCAGGATGCACAAAGTGGGAATTTTATAAATTTTATAAACAATTTTATTGTGTTTATTTTATAAAGAAAGTGTATACATTTTATGAATTGATATCATTCTTACTTTGGGGGAAGTTTTGAAAGGTAAACCAACTTGCTCCATTTCACATGCTTCAGGAATGGGCTGGAACTGAGTTTTTCAAAGTGTAGAATGGATAAATTTTCTAAGCTTGTCATCATAGCATCTTTTGGCTAAGCAAATTCATGACCACCGTTTCCACTGACTGTCCAGTGTTTCCTGGTAAAAGTAAGAGTTTGAACACATGCAGTATGCTTTACTTTTGTGAAATAGATGCTTGAAGTAATGAAGACAATCAAACCCTCCTTAGAATTTAAAGTTGTTAGTAATAGCTTTCTTCTTACAAGGGTGTGATTTAAAATGCAGATTGAGGAGCATTTAGATAGCTATATTTCATAGCACAATTTGTTCTGGTACTTTCTTTTAGCCTTCAATATAAAAAATAAACACATAGGCTCATGGTCATGTCTCTCAGAGCATCACAATTGTTCCATTTGGGAATGTCATGAATGGCATGTGAACCTATCCTTTGAAATAGGTCAATGTGTTGAAACGTTTTTTGTTTTGTTTTCAATTAGTATAAAGAGAATTTATAGCAGTTAAAAAGGGTGGTATTTTTAACAGGATAATCCATGAATGAAAATCAAAATGACAAATGTGTAAAGTGTATATGAAATAGTAAAAGGTAATAGTAAATGTGAATGTCTGTGTGGAAGTACATGTACAGACATTTTAAAGATCTGCTCCACAACTTACTTTTAGGATACATATGAAATAAATGAGTCAAATTTCTCTCTTCAGATGGATAGCCCAGCATTTTGAGTGATGGCCACCATTTCAAAGTATTTTGAATTATTTTAGAAATTTCCAAATCTTCATTTCTTTACCTAGATTACTTGTCGTAAAATGAGTCCCTTTCATTTTCTTAAAGTTTTCCTCAGTATCCAAAGGGCCATACCCAAATAGTTCACATGTAATTAAGTTTGTTCCTAACAACCAAATTTACATGAAGTATCATATAAAAAGTAATTAAATATTGAACCATTAAATCTTGACATTTTATTTCAAAATATCACCAGAAATAGTTTCCCTAAGGATATGTATTTGTGGATAGAAAAATTGATTGACCTTCATTATGAAGTCATGAGAAAGCTTCGAGACACGCATCCAAACTGGGCTTTCCTCACACCAGGGTTTCTGAAAACCAGGGTCTCTAATAGCTTTTGGCCATTACAGAACAACTGAAATTGAGAGGAGTTAGACATTTAAACTCCCCCTCACACACACACACACACACACACACATACACACACACACACACACAGAGAGAGAGAGAGAGAGAGAGAGAGAGAGAGAGAGAGAGAATGAAAGGGGAAATTAAAATTAGTTTCTGATTTTTAAAGATGCCCCATGTAATAGAACAATGTCACATGCCAGTGTCTGTATTGTCCACTTTAAATCAAATTAATAATTTCAAAAATAATTCAGTCCATTTATTCTGTGACTGAGTTTGTGATTAGCAGCTGAGATGTGAAGTGACTCTATTTGGTAATGTAATTTAGTGCAATCTGTTTTGTGGGATATTTGGAAAGAGTGTTAGTTTGCAATTGTCTGGATCGAAACCAGACAATGCATCTACGAGGAAAGCTCGTAGTGTAATTAGCAGTATAATGATCAAGAGAAATTCATGTATCTCACACTAACTCTTAGAGCTTATGTCTAATTAAATCTGAATCATTTATCAAGTCTGTGCACAGTTCTGAAAGACACAATATGAAAATAAATTTTAAAAGATCACATCAGAAGGGTTAGTTGTGAGGAAATCTGTTGAGGAAGTAAGAAAATAACACTTTGTTGCCTAAAATAATCATTTGGGGGATTTTCTGACTAAAACAGTGAATATTAGGTCACTTATCTGCCTGTCACTCAAAAATTGTATAGTTTCTACTCATTGGAGCACAAAGTTGTGTTTTCCATTGATGAGTAAGATACAGTTATGTTCATTGTGAGGTATTTTTTAACTAGCAGAGGTGTAGAGGAATGGGATGTGTGGTTATTCAAATGATGCATTTCTATAAATCAAATATGAGTGATAAATTATGCAAAAGAAAATGGAAAACAAATGAAAACAGGTTAAGTATTGAACATAAGATGTCTATGGATTGCCATGACAGCTGACAGCATATGGGTTGCAGACATTAAAGAGATTGTATTTCATTTATGTCCACACCCTCCTCTCCATTGGCATGGAGACAGGAGGTAGAGGAAAGAGAGTAATGATCTGTGAAGGCTTTAGTGAGATGAAATCGGGGAGGAGACATTATTGAAAATAATGTATGTAGGGAGGAGTGATGAGCAAAGGGGTCAAGACCAGGCTAGAGAAACCCACAGAAACAGCTGACCTGAACAAGGGGGAGCTCATGGACCCGAGACTGAGAGTTGGGAAACCAGCATGGGACTGATCCAGACCCCCTGAACAGTTAGGAGACCTAGGCAGTCAGTCCATGGGTTCTCTGGTAGTGAATGTGTATTTATCCCTAATACAAGAATGGACTTTGGGAGCCCACTCCACATAGAGGGAAACTCTCTCAGCCTAGACACACGGGGGAGGGCCTAGGCCCTGCTCCAAATGCTATGACAGACTTTAAAGATCCCCCATGGAAGTCCTCACCATCCCTGGGGAGCAGAAAGAGTTTGGGATAGGCAGTCAGTGGGGCGGGGGTGGGGGGGGGAGGACGGGAGGGAGAGGGAACTTGGATTGACATACAAAACAAGTTTGTTTCTAATTTAAATAAAAGATATGCAAAAAAGAAAATAATGTACTTACTGAAAATTTCCCTTTATGTTCTTTAAGCGATGATGTGTGAAGTGATGCCCACGATTAATGAGGACACCCCAATGAGCCAACGGGGGTCCCAAAGCAGTGGCTCCGACTCAGACTCTCATTTTGAGCAACTGATGGTCAATATGCTGGATGAAAGGGATCGTCTATTAGATACACTACGAGAGACCCAGGAAAGCCTCTCTCTTGCCCAGCAAAGACTCCAGGATGTCATCTATGACAGAGATTCACTCCAGCGACAGCTCAATTCAGCCCTACCTCAGGTACGCTTCAGTAATGCAGGTTTTCCTGTCAAAATGAAAAATAGAACAAGCTCTTAATAATATTTATTTCATGTTCATTCCTATAACTACTTTTCTACTGAATATACAATATGTGTTTTGGATTAAATTGCATAATAAATTGATAGTGTGTATCAAAATTTGCCTGACACAAAGTTATAGTGTACTGGTGTGCATCTGCCCACCTTGTGTGTGTGTGTGTGTGTGTGTGTGTGTGTGTGTGTGTGTGTGTGTGTGTGTGTGTGAAGAATGAAAGAATTAGTGATTGCCTAAAATTTTGTTTCCGTGTTTTGGTGGAAATAGAAAAAAATCTTCTTTATCAGCCATAATGTAGGGATAACAGATAATCTTGTCCTCAAAATATTAACCTTTTAAACATAGCCATGACTTTTGAAAATAATTATTTTCACTTTTCATTTGTGGTCTAGTCTGTCTTTGGAAATGGAAGTAATCTGGGAATTCACTCTATAATAATTTTTACCTGTTTTCAAAAAATACCCAGTACTTGAATAACTTTAAAAAAATATCCATACATTATCTTTTCTTAAAGTATTCAAAGCAGTTTCTTTTTGCCTTTAAAACATTTTTGGAAATTGCCAAACCAGGTTTCTCACACCTATAATCCCAGCACTTAAGAAAGAAGACCAAGTATCAAGTAAACCTAGGCTACGAAACAAAACTTTTCAGAAATTAAAATAATAAAAGAAGGAAATTAGCAGATGTCAAATTGCAGACTATTATCTTTCAAACTAATGCTGTTAGTTATTGTAGTTATTTTTACATCTGTTCCTGTTAAGTTATAATATTATGGAAGCAAATTAGTGATTCCAAGTATATCTGTTTATGGAATTGATGGTCAGAATAGGTAACATATTGAGAAGTTTCATGATCATACCGTTTTAATGGTAGAAAAAATACACAGAATATGAAGGACTTTTGTTTGTTTGGAGACAGGGTTTCTCTGTGTAACTCTGGCTGTCCTAGAACTCACTCTGTAGACCAGGATGGCCTCAAACTCATAGAGATCAGCCTGCCTCTGCATCCCCAGGGATTAAAGGTGTATGCAACCACTGCCTGACTAACATTTTAAATAATTTCTTACAATAAATTAAAATATTTTATAAATGTTATTTTTGGTTTTTTAATGTAAAAATAGAGTAGCAAATTTTGAAGGGTTGATTAAACTCCATAAAGTAGTATCTTGTAACATGTATCTTTCTGTATAAAGTGAATAAAACTCTGAAGCCACCTATTTTATTAACTTACTGTGTCTTGCTGAGATAGTTATCATACTCAGAATGGGTCAGATCACATTCTATCTTAACCACTAGGCAATCCCAGATCCCTATAAATGATTCCTGTTCTAGACATACACAAGTTCAATTAATTTGTAATGGGAAGTAAGCTTTTCAGTGACTCCCACTTGTTGTAAACATTGCTTTATTTCAGCACCAGAATATGTTGACACATTCCTCAAATAAGCTATCCATTCTTCACCTGGAATGAATTTTTTAAAAAAGAGATTTCAGTATTGACAATTGTTCTTCATACAGCGACTTCTCAAACTATCATCTTTCTCATTCTTGTAGAAGACTGCTTCAGTTGGTCACAAGTGTTTGTAAAACAATGTCCTACAGTAAATCATGCCTTTCACAAGGTGATTGTTGGGCTTTCATGATAGTGTTGCATTGGAAAAGTCCATTGTACTTTGTGCATATACTGGGAAAACATTTCTAGCAACTCTAGATAACTAAATTTTGGGGATTATAATGTCAAATAATTTATATATTTTATTATACTATTGTACAATTTGTTATGACAAATTTTTAGTCTAGTTGTACTTTTTTCTGTGTGCACATGTGTGAGTGTGTGTGTATGTGTGTGTGTGTGTGTGTGTGTGTGTAGCTGCAAGTGTACAAAGCCCCAAAACCCAAGATTGTCTATGAGAGCCTCACTCCACTGCTTTTCCTATTATTCATCGATCTCTTTCATTTGAACCTAGGATTAGCGTTTGTGACTAGTGTGGATTGCTGGCTAGCCTCAAGCAGCCCTCTTCTTCCTTTCTGAGCACTGGCATTACAGACAGAATCCCATACAACATAAAACTCACATGTCCAATCCAGATGCTTGCTTCTTTTTTTCCCAAATATTTAATTGATGAACAGCTCAGTCCTGGGCTGGTTGTCTTGTGGAGTTCATAGCTATCTCCTTGTATATAATACGTATATTTAAGCACATATATCCATTTCTAAGGAGAATATTATAAATCATACTACTTCATGGAAAATTAAAATCTATAGTTTCATCATTAAAAGATCTAGTTTTGCCATATAGTTTCAATAAAATACCAGTTTTCAGGAAGTATTTACTAGGAATTATAGGTAGGGATTGTGATCATGAAATATTACATTGTTATAGCGATATATTTTCTATTATTTAACTTTTTATATAAATTTTATTTAAACTAGAAGCAATCTTATTTTACATATCATCCCAGTTCCCGCTCTCTTCCATCCTCCCATGCTCCCCACCGACCCCTCCATCCCATCCCCCATCTACAGAGAGGGTGAGGCCTTCCATGAGGGAATCATAAAAATGTCAAGTAATTTGGAGCAGGGCCTAGGCCCTCCCCTATGTATGTATCTAGGCTAAGAGAGTGTCCCTCCATGGGAAATGGGCTCCCAAAGTCTGTTCGTGCACTAGGGATACATCCTGGTTCCACTGCCAGAGGCCCCATAGACTGCCCAGTGTTCCTAGCTGACACCCACATTCAGGGGGCCTGGTTTGGTCCTGTGTTGGTTCCCCAGTTGTCAGACTGGGGTCCATGAGTCCCACTTGCTCAGGTCAACTGTTTCTGTGGGTTTTCCTAGCATGGTCTTGACCTCTTTGTTCATCGCCCCTCCCTCTCTGAAACTGGATTCCAGGAGTTTGGCTCAGTTGCTACTATTAACACCAGAAATCCACAGTCCTTAGACAGTGATAGTACTCTCATTTTTCTAATATGAATATTTAATAGCCCAATCGGCACTATTAGTAGTGTGTATTTCATTCTAATAGTCGATTGTTATTCTTCAATTGGCATGTTTGAATTTTTGTGGATATTTGAAAGCAGTATATTGTTCGTGAAATTCACATTTTACAGGGAAATGTAAGAGGAAAGTAGCTACCATCAATATGAGGTTTGAGACAGAAATAAATAAAACACGTAAAACTCAAAACTACTATAGTAACATAAAAATGAAATTATTTCCGCAAGCAAAATTGAAAACAGTCAAGAGCTTTATGTTATAGGTATTCTAAATTGACTGTACAAGGCTTTGAGGCACTGTAGGAAATGGGGCTTAGTTTTAGTTAGCCTATCTCCTTTTGTCTCTCAGGGCAGAGATGTAGTAATATTTCAACAATCTTAACTATGTAAATATCTGCCTTGTAGTGTATTCCATTGCTCTTTGGAGTGTGTGTTTAAGGAGAGCTGATAATTTAATATCATTTTACATTCTACCCTGATGTTTGTAGCTATATACTCATGTGCCTGATTTTCTAATGCACAGATCCATCTTACTATTCCATAGAAACTCCCATTAACAGCCCTGCACTCTCAACCATCCCCTGCCTTCTACTCACCACTCAATTCTGCTCTAGTTCCCTAGACAAAACCTAAGCATCCTTAACATGGATTCTTGTTCCCACATCTCTGATCCCCTTCATCAGGGATCCATATTGTTCTGCATCTCAAATAAGACTCAGTTCTCCTCTTTCTGTTTTGTACCTGGCCCTAAATTTCTATGCCTTATCTCCTAAGATCTCCTGTTTGATAAGCGTGTCATATTGTATCCTCAAAAAACAAAAACCTGAACTATCTGTATGTCAGAAACAAACCCCTAGTCTGTATAGTGCTTTTCTTTTGTGCTGTCTTAGCATTACTATTGCTGTGATAAAATATCATGACCAAAAGCAACATGTGGAGAAAATGGTTTATTTCATTTATAGTTCCATGTAACAGTTCATCATCAAAAGCAGTGAAGTCTAAGACTTTGTCCACTGCAGGAATCATTTCTGAAACCTAAGAACATTTCCTGTTTTACTTTCTTTTGTCATTTTTCCTATAGAAAATAAATTACCGCTGTGTCCCCTACTTCCTAACCTAAGCTTCACGACATCAGGAATATGTCTTTATCTTCATCACCTCCCTAGACTATCAGAGAGCTAATGTATTAATTATGTATTTCTTAAAAAGTTCTTGGTAACAAATACTACAATGTTTCAGTAGAATTCAAAACTATGGTAATGGGGAATGTCCTTCTGTATGCTGTGAATATATGTTTCTCTTAATGGTTGATGAATAAAGCTGTTTGGGCCAATGGATAGGCAGGACTTAGCCAGGTGGGAAATCTAAACAGAGATAGATAACGGTAGTACACAGAGTCAGGGAGACAACATGTATCTGCTGAGGAAGCAAGAGACCCAGGCATCACTGGCAAGCCAAGACCAGGTGGAGATACACAGATTAGTAGAAATATGTTAATAAGAAGACCAACCCATTTGTCAAACCATTTATAATTAATATAAGTTTGTGTGTGTTTATTTGGGACTAAACAGCTGTGGGACCAGGTAGGACAGAAACTTCCATCTCCACTGTTGGTTTGTGGAGTTTGACTGACTCTATAGGTCTGATTTGGGCTTGGGCTGGCTGGTCTTGGATGGGTTAACTCATGCTACAAAAAGTTTAAATTAGCTGTATACCACCTGCTTATTGACTTTTTCTAGTTGGATTTGATTGTGCGTACTGGAACAACTCACCTCTGGGCTTGTAGAATCCTTGGATAGTATGATGCCACAAGTTCTCATAGTCAATGACTACGAGGAAGAACAGAGCAGAAATCTCCTTTACAGATTCCACTTCCATCTTTATTTTTGTATTCCCCTTTAGAAAGGGCCAGAGATTCAGTGGAAAACACTATCAAATGGCATGTACAAAGAAA